ATGAAACAGTATCTGGTACTGACTGCAAGTTCTACATCCCAGGCTTCCTGTCTTAGGTGGCACCTGCTAAAGTTAGGGGTCATATAGAATAGGAGTTCATGAAACAAAGGTAATAGTTAGATGATGGATGGATGGATGGATAGATAGATGGATGGATGGATAGACTGACAGAAAGACAGATGACAGGTAGACAAGTAGATAGATGATAGATGGATAGGTGATAGACAGACATCTCTCTCCACACAGAGGAAACACAGAGGATCCTGTGACTTGCAGCACAAACCACAGCTAATTGGTGCCACTGCCTTTACATCAGCTGCTTGAGCTGTTCCTATGACATCATACTAAATTCTACAGGATGCACATAAGGAAGGCCCAAGTGCTCCCTGCACTTTCAATGCATCACAGGAAGCCATCCCACAAGGTCATGCTTGCACACTTCAGGTGTGGGTCTGCAGAGCAGGCCCCAGGGGTGTCTTTCCCTTTGACACCCACCCCAGTCACACAGCACTACAGAGAAGCTCATCAGGGGTCCAGTTTCAGACACAGCTGCACAGAAAGGTCAAAGGAGGGAAGGACAGCATTCTATCCAAGATGACCAGGTCCTTGATTTTCAGATGAAGAAAGGCAAGGTTTGGTTTGACTAGACCAAACTGTGACAGGAACCCACGGAGGGAGATATCCTCTACCCATACTTCAACATTCCCTGACCCTGCAGCACCGTCCAGAACTCAGTCAGTTTGATGTGTTTGTGAGGAAAAAATGTGAAAAAACCATTTGTCAAATGCATGGCGGAAACACTTCTCCCCACCCTTCTGCAAGCCTGAGACATTTAACGACTCACAATAGAGGGGAAGCCACCATAAAAAATGACTTGCTGTGTGCCCTTTGAAGTACAGTAACTGTGGGACAAGTGACTATAAACCCACACAGCTGGGAGACTGGAGTCTATTCCTGCTTAGTGACTTTCCAGAACCAAGCATACTTGCTTCCCCAGTCACGATGCATCCAGGGTTACAGCATTTTCTTATCCATTTCTTTCTTCTCGAGGATGCTATCAGATTCCATTTGTAACAAGCAACTTGTCCATATCGTATCTGGCCACTTGGGGAGGTCTCTGAGCACCAGTTGTTAGGGGAGGGAGTCTGCAGGCAACAGAAAGGGCTGATGCCCGAGTTGTGGGTTCCCCCATAAACTGTCTAAGGAGCAGGGGCCCAGTGTCCCTCAGAAGGGCCCAGCTTCACTGTACTTGTGTAGGGACCATTAACTGGATTCTTCTTTTCTTCCGACCTTTTCCTCCCATCACCCAAGCCCCATCCTCCCTCCCTGGTCCCCAGTCAGGTGACTTCTCCAAAGAAGGGGAGAACCATCAATGATCATTCAGGTCCCTGGGCTCTCCTATTCCCATATGGATGAAGGCCATGTGTGTACATACACACGCAAATGCATGTATACTATATTCCTAGTTTGCCACCCACCAAGCCATTCTCAGGCCCAGGAAGCACTAAACGCACACACTGTAACAGGTGATCCCTGGACACTGTAGCGTAGGACACTCATTTGCTGCCTTGATTTATTATGAGTCTTTTACGACCTGTAGGGGTGGTTCACGGCTGAGGGTCAATGCATGTTGGCTGAGTACCTTTCCTAAGGCTCTTTCAGTAGCAGGTTCTCATGGTCCTCACTGCACACAATGATTAAAATGCAGAAAGTATTTGAATCCACCACCCTTCAGGTGTTTCTTCTGGGAAGGCCAGATAATTAAACTGATTTAAGTTCTATCATTATAAAAGTCTAGTTCTGCAGAAAATAAAAATTTGGCCAAGATTATCTGTAACAAACGTGATGAAGTTTTAATGTATTATGAAGTCAACCTTGTCTTGCAGGTGTTGCGGATGTAACCATCTGATCACCAGCCAGTGTAAATGTCCTGGGGCCTGGGTCTGAGCAGGAGGGGATTCACTGCACACAATGGCTGAAGGTAGAGCAGGGTGGAGGAGCCATGAGCACCAAAGCTGGAGAGAGAGGAAGTCTTCTGCTTCCCATTTTCAAGGGGTGCCAAGGCCTCAGGATTGGAACCCATTCTGTAGTCCACATGGCAGGTTTGCCTCTGGGGAACCTGAGTCAGCATTATGTAAGGGGACAGCCCACAAACCCCGGGAGTTCTCAGCTCATTTGAGGCTTTGCAGGAATTTCCTGTTACAAGATCTGAGACTGCAAAGAGCCACTACTAACCCAGCCTGTCCTTCTCCTCCGTCTGTGGGGGAAACTAAGCTCTGAGTCAAGAGATGCCAAGGCTGGCAGCTCTCTGATGACTTCTCCCAGTTATCTGAGCCAGCACAAGGCAGCACAGAACTAAGGGCCCCAGGAGCCCAAAGAAGAAAAATTCTAGGTCTTCAGGAGCAAACTTGATCAGAGTGGGCTTTGGGAGAGGCTGTCAATCTACCAGGCAGAGGTGGGGTGGGGAGGGGTGAGTTGACCTCAGCTGTGACTGACTCTGAACACAAACTTACTTCTGCTGTTCTTACCTCTCTCTCTCTCTCTCTCTCTCTCTCTCTCTCTCTCTCTCTCTCTCTCTCTAAACATAACACATGTGCAACACATGCGTGACCATGGCGGAGAGTAAAGCACCACCCCCTGTGTCCCCAAGACCTATGCTGGCTTTGGGGAGCATCTCCTTGGTTTTCCCTGTGATTTTAGCCCCGGTGTTTGTTTGCCTATCATCATATACAGCTACAGCGTGTTCTATCTTTTCCTGCTATGCTGTCAGGAACATTTAAGCGGTGTAGAGAACATCCTGAGCATGTCTCCTGGCTTCTCTGTAGTATAGCACTTGGGAGGAAGTGCCTGTTTACCCTGACCAGTGTCCTCAGCTGCTTCTGCTGCTCCCTCTGCACGACTGTCCACCCACTCTCCTTTGGTGTGACAGAGCCATGGTAACAGGAGGTCAGTGAAAACCCAGCTCACAGGCCGGAGGGGAAATCCTGACACTGTTGCCAGACGAAGCCTAGGATTTTTTATTTTATTTTATTTATTGTTTTCATTGAGCTGCATATTTTTTCCTCTCTCCTCTTCCTTCCTCCCCTCCCTCATGGCTCCTACACTCTCAATTTACTCAGGAGATCTTGTTTTTTTGTTTTTTTTTTCTTCCTTCCTATTCAGATCCATGTATGTCTCTCTTAGGGTCCTCTGTTGTTTAGATTCTCTGGGATTGTGGACAATAATCTGGTTATCCTTTGCTTTATGTCTAAAAGCCACTTATGAGTGAGTACATATTATATTTGTCTTTCTGGGTCTGGGTTACCTCACACAGTATGGTTGGTTTTTTTTTTTTTTTGGTTCCATCCATTTGCCTACAAATTTCAAGATGTCATTATTTTTTATCACTGAGTAGTACTCTATTGTGTAAATGTACCACATTTTTCTTACCCATTCTTTGCTTAAGGGGCATTCAGGTTGTTTCCAGGTTCTGGCTATTACGAATAATGCTGCTATAAACATAGTTGAGCAAATGACCTTGTGGTATGACTGAGCATCCTTTGGGTATATGCCCAAAAGTGCTATTGCTGGGTCTTGAGGTAGAAGGATTCCCAGTTTTCTGAGAAATTGCCCTACTAATTTCCAAAGCAAATGGACAAGTTTGCACTCCCCCCAGCAATGAAGGAGTGTTTCCCTGACTCTACATCCTCTCTAGCATAAGCTATCATCAGTGTTTTTGATCTTGGCCATTCTGACAGGTGTAAAATGGTATCTCAGAGGTGTTTTGATTTGCATTTCTTTGATGGCTAAAGATGCTGAGCACTTCCTTAAGTGTCTTTCAGCCATCTGAGATTTCTCTGTTGAGAGTTCTCTGTTTAGGTCTGTACCCCCTTTTTTATTGAATAATTTGATATTTTGATGTCTAGTTTCTTGAGTTCTTTGTATATTTCGGAGACCAATCCTCTGTCAGATTTGGGGTCGGTGAAGATCTTTTCCCATTCTGTAGGCTGCCGTTTTGTCTTGTTGACCGTGCCCTTTGCTTTACAGAAGCTTTTCAGTTTCAGGAGATCCCATTTATTAATTGCTGCTCTCAGTGTCTATGCTACTGGAGTCATATTTAGGAAGTGGTCTCCTGTGCCAATGTGTTCAAGTGTACTTCCCACTTTCTCTTCTGTGAGGTTCAGCGTGGTTGGTTTTATGTTGTGGTCTTTGATCCATTTGGACTTGCTTTGTGTGCATGGTGATAGATAAGGATCTATTTGCACTCTTTTAAATGTTGATATCCAGTTATGCCAGCATCATTTGCTGAATATGCTCTCTCTTTTTTTTTTTTTTTACATTTTATACTTTTAACTTCTTTGTCAAAAACCAGGTGTTCGTAGATGTGCGGATTGATATCTGGGTCTTCAATTTGATTCCACTGGTCCTCCTGTCTATTTTATGCCAATACCAGGCTGTTTTCAGTACTGTAGCTCTATACTAGAATTTGAAGCCAGAGATCATGATTGTTTTTCCATATAAAGTTGAGTATTTTTCTTTTGAGGTCTGTGAAAAATTTTGTTGGGATTTTGATGGGTATTGCCTTGAATCTGTAGATTGCTTTTTGTAAGACTGCCCATTTTTACTATGTTAATTCTACCTATCCAAAACCATGGGAGATCTTTCCATTTCCTGACGTCTTTCTTCAAAGATTAAAGTTCTTATCACAAAGGTCTTTCACTGTTTGGTTAGAGTTACCCACAAGATATTTTACGTTATGTGTGAAGCCTAGGATTTTTAACCCTGTGACCAGAGCCAACAACCTGAACAACTGGGCTTTTTGAAGAAAGAAATCCCAGCATCCCCCACTCCAGGGAGGCAGCCTCTCCAGCTCTGGAGCAGACCCCTCCCTGCCAGATTCAGCAGATATGCTTCCAAGTACAGAAACATCACATGCTGCTGCACCCAAGCAGCCATAAGTGGCAAAAGAGAGGGCAGAATGGGAGGGGCTTCTCAGGCTCCCTCCAACAGCCAGCACCTACCTGTACACTGGCTGCATCTCTCGGGCTATGCCAATAACAGCACCTGGCAGGAAGTTGTCAAACTCCTCGAACAGCTCTCGGATGTTGGTCTTGTACTTCAGGTCAAGGTCCAGCTGAATGATCCGTAGGATCTCTGGAGGAGTAATTTCAAAACAGGACAGTAAGATTATGTATGCTACCATACCTCTGTAATCCAGCTACTTACTCGGGAGGCTGAGGCAGGGGATTGGGATCTGGGATGGTCTGGGATGTATAATGAGCCTCAAAAAATAAAAATGATAGACACAGGCCTACATCCTGGGAGACTTGGTGCCTAACAGAAAGTAGAGAACACACAAGGCTACTGGCTTGTTGCTGTAGTTGTTGAATGATGCAAAGTCACTTTCAGCAACCTGAAACCCTGTCTAACTGCAGAATCGATTCTGTTCAAACCCAGGGGCCCATATGTCCATCTAGTCTCTGACTAGGTGAGTGCCACCAAAGTGTCTGTCCTAGAAGGTACACAACATGGACACCTTGTGATTTCACTTTGGGGTATAAGTGTCAAAGACTGCCAGACAAGAGGGATAAAAGATACTATCATCTCAGGTCTGGATACAGATGTCCTGTAAACTTCTGGAGGAGGAGGATTTGGGCTGGGTCCTCTGCATGGACAGGAATGGGTAGATGAAGTATTATTCATGCCCAACTCAGAGCACTGGGGTGTCCCATTTCCCCCTGACTCCCACCCCTGCTTTCAGCAGGGCATCACTGCTCCCTGGAGGACAGAGACCAGCACTTGGCCATTTTGGCATCTGTCAGTGGCACAAAATTTGACATTTGACATGGGGGGGTGGTTTCAGGAAGCAATAGCCATTCTTTAGGTTGGTTTATGAAGAAATCACAACTTACAATGTAAGAAAAACTGATTCATTTGTTACTTGTTCTGTTTTCCTATGTGAGACAGAAACAAAGTCTTCATTGATATTCTATGTGACTTCTCTACGACATAAAAGAGCCAAAGTTACAACAGATGAGAAGCCAGCTGCTCAGGGCAGAGCAAAGCAAGAGAGCAGCAAGCTGCCTGCTCTGGGTGTAGGGCTGGGGAGGAAGGTCTGCCCAGGCGAATGAGGAACCCATGGCTGCCAGTATCACACTGCAACCCCCACAAGAGGACTAAAGAGGCTGTTTCCTCCCGCAGTCATAAACAATGACAAAACCAAAGCCTGGAAGTTGGAGCTGCCTGCTAATAACCCGGGAGTCTATGTGTCTAGAAGCCTTAGCAGTGACTCTGCTGGCCTGGGGACGAGGCCCTAAGCCAAGGGGTGGAGAGCAGACACAGGCCACAGGGGTCCTGCTGCTCTAGAAGGTGGTCCGGGGACACAGGGGAAGGACCCTGACGACAGCCCTAGGGAAAGACAATGTTTGCCAGGAAAGAATGTCCTTACATGAAAGCTACAGTCCCCAAATTCTTATGTTGAGCTATCAATGGTTGGCCATCTGGGTCTGGAGACAACCCCAAAACACATACATTTTCTCCAGCCATTTTTTTTTTCTTTTTGTCCATTGTCTGTGGCATGAGCATTCACATCCATATCTCAAGTAGCCCTTACATACAGCAAAACAGAGCTCTAGGGAGTCAGGGACAGAACACACTACCATCTCCAGGGGCAAAATCATGTCACCCTGATTCTGTGAAAGAAGAAGACAGGGTCTAGGACATTGGCTGTGATAATGACTGGGAAGACTTCTGTCAACCTCAAGGTAGATCTGCCCACTGATGTACAATTCCTAGTTTTATAAGAAACAGTGTCTTAGGGAGGTTAAAAAACAAGGGACTGGAGAGATGAAGAGGTAGCTTAGTGGTTAAGAGCACTGACTGCTCTTCCAGAGATGCAGGTTCAATTCCCAGCACCCACACAATAGTTCAGAACCATTTGTAACTCCAGCTCCAGGGGATCTGACACCTTCTGTTCTCTGCAGGCACTACATGTACACAGTGCACAGACAAACATGTAGGCAAAGCCACTCATGCACATAAAATAAAAATAAATTTAAAAAGTACAATAGAAAAGCCAGGCATAGTGGCATACTGTAATTTCAACACTTGAAAGATAGGGGCAGGAGGATCAGGAGTTTACAGCTAGCCTCAGCTACATAGCAAGTCTGAAGCCAGTCTGGGCTATAGAAAATCTCCTCTGAGAAATAAAAGGTTAAAAAACAGGAGCCTCACTCAAGAAGTCAATAGTGGAGTGAAAATGGAACTCTGACTTGACTCTGAAGCCAGTACCCCAAGCTCCTTCCACATGACTCCCTCTGAACAGAGGGGCTCACATGCAGATTCTGGATCCATCGCTCACCACCCCAGGAGCACACAGAAGGACTGAAGGCAGCCAGAAACAAATCACCTCAGGCAATCGCCTGGCCAAAAGTAGATTTCAAGGGAAGCAAACAAAGCAATTATGGTAATTTCACTGTCCTCACTGATATGGAAGTCATTAGTGGTCAGCCCATCCCTTGCCCTGTGCATCCTCTGCTGTCCAGGCACCACAGTCCTAGCGTTCTGCTGCGGCTCTGCACAGGTCCCGGTGGACAACTACGGCCTCATCTGTCCTGCACCGCCAACAAGTCCAGTCATCCATCACCGCCTCCTCTAGAAAGTGCATTCCTAGAGGACGGGTGCACACTGGGAGGGCAGAGCAGACATCCATGTCTCTTTGCTCAGAAGCTGTACTAATCTCGGTATGGGTCCAATTTTAGTATTTAGGTGAGAGACTTCCTGAAGATCCCCGTCTCCCTCACTGGTACAGTTCCTGTCTTAATGGGCTCCTAATGGGCTCATAATCTGCGCACTTCCCCTTAGGAACATTCCTCTTAGGGAATGGCTAAGAGGGGTCCAATGTAGCCCCACAACACAGGAATCTGAGATCCTTGGGCACTGCTTATAACTCATGCTTAAAACACCTCTGAGAGAGGCAGCATCCCCCGTGTCAGTCCTGCATCCAGGGAGGTAACTAGCTGAAAAGGAGTACTGGTCCAGCTCACCACGGAGTGACCCTTCACCTGGAGGCAGATCACCAGACCCAGGCTGGGCAAAGGACACCCTCATCTGTTCAGGGAAGCCCACAGCTCTGGGCAGCCTGCACTGTCACATGGGCACCCAACCAAAGACTCTTCTTTTATAAAAAGAGCAAATAAGATGCCACTGCCACTGCTGAAGAGAAGCCTGTGCTTACGAACACTGCAGCTCATCAGGATGGGATTGCTTAGGGACCCTGCTACACAGACTCTGGTCTCGGCAGAGTCATCTCTCTATGGGAACTACATCTGGGTGGTCATATAGGAAACAGAAGGACTATGAAAAGAAGAGGTTTCTATCTCGGGACGACCATAGTGACAACCTCAAGAAGATGCTGGTGGGAGATGGTGGTAAGACCACCAAACTAGGGGCTACAAGAGATGAGGGTCCCTAAAGCAAAGGGTGCACGAAAGCTGCGACGAGTAAGAAGGACTTTGGAGAGAACAGCTGAGGGGGTGTCTTAACAGCATAGGTTCTGTTCAGGCCGACAGGACATCCTCCATCCAAATACCGTGGCAGATGACAAAGAGGAGGCCAGAACACTAAGATGGCAGCTCTGGAGAGGAAGCCTTGTGGGATAATCTTTTTGCACTCTGTGAAGTTGTTTTTGCCAAGGTGCCTTCTGATTGGTTTAATAAAGAGCTGGATGGCCAATAGCTAGGCAGGAGAAAATAGGCAGGACTTCCAAGGAGAGAGAGGAACTTGGATGAATCTAGGATTTTACCAGCAAGATGTGGAGGGAGGACACATATATTATGGAGGAAAGGTAACAAGCCATGTGGCAGAATGTAGACCTAGCTGTGAACAAGCCTAAGCGAAGGCCAAGCTTTTGTAATTAATAAGTCTTCATGTCATTATTTGGGAGCTGGCGGTCACAACAAGAAAGTCCTACTACAAAGCCTGGTAATAACTGAGGTCAAACTACCCATTTCATAGGTCAGAAAACTGAGGGCCATCAGGACACTCAAGTTAAGAAGCAAAGTCGATCCCAGAACTCAAATTCCTACCTCCCTCACTGACGCTCTCTGGTTATTCAACTTCATCCATCCTCTCCTAATATGGACCATAAAATCCTAGAGAGCCAAAAAAAAAAAAGTGTCATGACATATCCCCACCAACCACAACCATGTAAATGTGAAGATGAATAAGGAGTCTGAGAACAGAAACGAGACCCTCATGTTCCACATGGCTCTAGCCACGTCCCACATCGTCCATATCCTCTTGGCATCTGAGAAGCCAACAGTCTTTACACCCTCAGGTACATACCTGGGTTGTGATAAATTCAAAGGGAGGCAAAAGTCACACTGAACATTCTAGACCCAACAGTGCCTCATTGCCTGGTGCGCAACCCCTGGCAGTCAGTAAACAGTCACTTGCTGACCATGACCACCCCCGCCCCAGGTTTGTTCCTAGAAAAGTACCCGTTTCTGCATCCAGTGAACTGAGCCTTCCCAGTAGATCCCATGCTCACAAACCTGCCCGTGGGTTGGGACCACATAAATAAGAACTCAAGTACTGATGGGCACCTGTGGCATTGTCTCCGTTGGGGGATGCTGTCCTGTATACAGTGCATAGTTCTCAGTGGCCCCAGCATCTGAGGAGCACAGCTGTACTGAGTATTCGCCCCCAGGGAGCCTCACGGTGGATTGACCTTCTGCAGAAGACAGAGCATGGAGCACTATCTGGCACTCCCACTGTGGGGTGGCAGTCAGTGTCAAACAGTGGTCCTTATGGGGAATGAGAGTCTGGCAAGTTAATGAAGGATGCCAACCACAGTAGGAAGAGGTGAAGAATCCCAGGGGGCTCTCTGGTGTGGGCTTCATGCTCACAGGGATATGCTTGCTCATCTTCACTCTCTTGACTCCAGTCTCTGGCCAAAGAGACAGCTCTAACTAGACCTTGGCTCTACTAAGCTTGAAAAAGAAGGACACATGAAGCACTCTGGCTACCGATGTGACTTTCTAAACCTCTGCGAGTCCATCACTACCATCACAGCTGATCCTAGCAGCCCTCCATCAGAGTTCCTCACTATCTCTGGACTTTGCAGGCCAATGCCTGCTGCTAGGGTTCAAGGC